CACATAATCTACATTCGTACATATATAACACCCTTTCAGAACAAATCGGTGCAAGTATTGTACATTACTGAACCTTGCATCATGTTGCCCCACAACAATGTTATATGCATTGTGTACAAAAAACTATATAGATAGATGGCTTTAGGTATATACTCTGTATTGCTTGCTCAGCAGGCCTTACTGTTCGCATCCAAAGGTATTGGCACAATGCATAGTTAAACAAATCTGGATGCGAGACAATGATGCAACACAATGTGCATAAAATTGCATAAAAAACATGTGCAAAAGGTTTTCTGACATTGCAGCTCCACGTAAAATTTTTCTCTTGCCGCAATTTTGATTAGAAGGGCTTCTCACCACTTCACACACTGGGAAAGTAGCAGGCTCGTTATCATGTTTGCGCGAACACTCCAGCGCGTCGGGCTGCCACTCACTGGCCTCCGTGAGTTTGTATGTACTGTTTTATGTACACGGGGCTGTATTTACGCTGCATTTACGTATTTTGCGCCTTGTTATGCGTAACAATGTAAAAATCGTTTTTACGCATCAAAAGGTAAAATACGATCATTTCTTTGCGGCGTAAATAATAAGCCTGGAAAGTCGTACCCAGTGTGTTCTGGTTACTACTTCCACACTTTCAAGAGCTTTCATGGCCAACTGACATTTTGCGGCTGTTCCATACATGTTCGGTTATACCACAGCGGTGACATGCACATCCTTGTCGTATCACCAATTGTAGGAAATCTTCTTCTTCTGCTTCCATAAGCTTTGAATGTAAAAATGCTTCGAACTATTTTCCGGTTCAAATGGGTGCCCAGTGGCAACATCCCCGCCTCGTTGTGTAATATTTCCTTGCATCGTTGAAATGTCAACATTTTCTCATTTTTGGAAGATTGATTTTGATTTACAGGCACTCGGCGAACATCCCAGTGCAACGCCCAAACATGTAAAAAAGAGTGAAATGCAGTCTTCACTCACGTGCATTCAATGTGGGTTGGCCGCGGTCTCAGGCATGTGCAGATCAAGAAAATTCGCAAGCCAAAGCGAGGAAGTGGCCACCGGATATCTATTACTTGCAAACAAAGTGGTGTCCATCGTTTGATTGATAATAACCAAACACATCGTGGTAATCTGAATAAAGAGTGGTAAATAAAAAAATGACCATTTGGTTGTGAGATTTCACAATTTGGATTGGCAGTTCTGATTTGCTGCTTGAACGAAACAGGAGCTGATGACTGCCTTATGGCCTTGACAAGAAAATTCCTTGACGACGACGATGAAATTGACACCTTTTGATCCATTAGGACTCTCACAACGCACGGACATGTACCAAGGCAAGCGCTGGAGGCGTGCGCATTCGCGACGGTCAAACGGTGGCCGGCATCGCTGCCCGAGATCGTCGCCGGGAGAACGACCTGGCGGCTGGCGGTTACTGTTTACACAGGCGGCCACCGCACAGCAGAGTGCGACGCTGCTATCCGTGGTATTGTTAGAAAACGCCACATTTGCGATGCCAAATGCGATACCGTTTGACACCATGGTGTCAACTGGCCAGTTGTTGCCAGCAAAACTACTGTTATGCCATCGAAATCATCATAAACAACGACATCACTATTTTTTCATAACAAGGTAATGAGGTAGCCGTCATCTTCCTATTTTGCCGGAGCAAAGCAGTGTCTGTGATCAGCTCATCGAAATCACTCTGGTGGCCCCACTTGGCGTCAAAACAGCATCACAGCTGGCACCACAAAACGGCGTTTTCTGCTTTTGCCAGCTCGAGTCTTGCCACACGTGGTGGGAGACTCAGTGAAGGTGACCGCTGTCGAGAGCCCCCGCTGGAGTTGTACAGCGACGCGCAATTCTGTTGCACAGCGCCAGCGCACAAGCAAAACACCGGCCAAAATACACGGTTTCGAACCGAGTAAAAATCGTGTAAAACTGTGTCAAAACGTGCAAAAAGTCATGTACACTCACTCAATCATTACCACACGGTTTGGTCCCATTTCTGTACGAAAACTACACGATATACCACGACTTTATTACACTATTTTTCAATCAACTTACACGATCTACACGGTACACGATTTTCAAATCCGTTTACATTGGCCTGATTTTACTACTGGGCGGGGAGCTTCTGCAGTGGCTGACGTCGAGGCTTCGGCAAGTACCTTCGCAGGGGCCGCATCTGGGCCAGGAAGGCCTGCCGACAGCGCTTTCTTGAGTGCGCAGCCACCGGATCGGAGACACTGACGCACGGGACGGCTGGGGCAGCGACGGCTAAGGCCTCAGAAGGGCGGCGGAAGGGGGATGATGGGTGGGGTTAGGGGGGGAGATGGTCGAATGAGCGTGCAACGCGTGGCAGGCGACACCGCTTGCTTCCGCCGTTTCCAGGTGGTAAACTTTCGTCCAACGGTCGTCAAGATCAAAGTGAGCTTATATGATGTGCGACAGTTTGACATTCGACTGCTTTCTGGCTTCCGTTGGCGCTGCCGCGATGCACCGCAAGAAAGTGATTGGAGGAATTGCGAGACCGATGCGTGTGGTTGGCGAGGTGCCACAAAAGGGGGGGGGGACAAGGAACAGCTACATTTATGCAATCCCTTTTCCGTTGCGTTTGTCGTGTAGAGGAAGCCCAGTGGGGGGTGTCGAGGGGTCAGTGCGACTGGTTGGTCACTCCACCGGGCGGGGAACTGGAAGGGAAGCAGATGTTTTTGGACGAGAGCCTCTTAGTATGTGAAGAGTCATCCGATATTCCGCAGTGCACTCCATGCTCCATGAACCTCATACACCAGTCACGGGAGAGCCTGGGGTCTGGCAGCACGATGCTATTTTTTGGAGCAAATTGCAGTGTGGCATGGCATCCACACTCCAGACCCGGTCCTGTTCCTTTTCTGGCGGGTCATGCTGACTTCCCCACGCCAGAATTTTGAGCGACTGACAGCGAAGCTGCACGGAATCTCCCAAGCTTGATTGCGTTCTGCGGAAATGCGTAATTAGTTCCTGATGTTTTGACGTCTGCTGCCATGAAGGGAACGAAACGGCATTTGGCTTTGAGCTTCCCATGTTCCAACGTTCTACAATCGCTGCGGCGCTGGATTGTTTCCTTCACTGCAGGCTTCTTGATGTTGCATTGCGGCATTAGGTTGTGTTGCTGAAGCGCACTGACATCGACCTAAGAATTGACGCACATCGAGGTCAGGGTGCGCTGGAGGGGGGGAAGAAGGTGACAACGCCCATTGTGCAGCCACATGGCAGGCGAGCTGAGCTTAGCTCGCAAAAATCGACGACATAGTGTCGTCCCAGGTGGATTATTCTGGCCTGGATGGCGGGCTCCCCTTCAGTCGATGAAGTGGGCCTTCCCTTTAATTTTCCTGGTCCTCGTATGCAGCCACCAGAAGGCGCTGACTCGTCAACTGGGCTGAGTAGCACCAGTGTCCCTAGACCCAGGGACGTGTCTGGACACGTGTCTGGACACGTGCCTGGCGTCCCACATACACTAGGAAAAAAAGGGCCAAATAGCACGTGTTCAAACGTGTATAAAGTTTACGGGTTTGTGCTATTTTTGGGTTCTTAGCGTGTAAAATTATGATAAAATGTGTTTTATGTGTGTTCGCAAAAGTGTTATTTGGCCCTTTTTTCCTAGTGATAAGGGCACACGCGTCCATTCAGACTTTCTTCCAATCGGATTGCCCTCCACTCCAGGCAGGGCGCACGTTCGGACGCGCCGGTGTTGAAACGTTGGGACGCGCGTGAAACAGCTCGGCAACACGTGCCAACGTTGATCCGCAGCCACTCGTCATCTTGCAGCTGCACGAGCTCGCTGGCCCAGCTGGGTTGACGCAACCGAACGATGCACAAGGCGGTGTTTTACATGAATAGAAATTGAGGCCAAGAAATTCCCTTGTGTCCTGCTTACCGAACCCCATAAAACAACAGATCGATCAATCAAGCGTCCGCAACGTCGAGAGCTGCGGCCGCCAACGGCGATCGCTGCACGCTGCTGCTCGGACGCAAAAAAGTCCTATTTAGCAAAAGGTGGTACAAGGCTCAGTACACTTTAGTGCTTTCTTTTATCCGTGCTTTTCTAACAATCGTTGGCAATGCGGCTGCAAACTAGGTGTGGCGAGCCCCGCCCACGCTCTTCGGGGTCGCGCAATGAATTGATCACGGGCGGCAGGGGCGCCCCCTCCCAACCAAACCGTAGGAAACATTCAGGCAACTGCCGTCGGGTCGTCGGCGCCACTCGACGCGCGCGCCCCCCTCACCCCTGGCACACCCCACCTGCCCCTTACCACCGATGCCTTCCAATGAACAACTGCACGCGGCGCTGATGCTCGCCGCGCATCCACTCGAAAGGGTGGCCTTCGCTGATAGTAATGCATTGGCGATAATGTAATGGCCCCTGGGGCAAACAATTTTCCCACCAGCACGACTCTTCACCTACGCACCAGAGTGAGCGGCGCCGGGAGCCCCGTTCCGTTCACCGCCGCTGCCGCCCCGAGGCTTCCTATGCTGTCCCCTGGGGCGCCTCCGGCCACGCCTGGCGTCCCTGTCGGCCTGGTCACGGGCAGGCGCCGGGCGTCCGGCACCGCGCCGATCCCCTCGACGCCGTTGGTCGTCGCCCCCGTGCCCGTGCCGCTCCCCGCGCCCGCCGCGATCCAAATGCGCGGCCTCGCGATGGCCTTCGCGACGGCTCGCGTGAACGGCATCGCGCCGACTCACGAGAACGACGTCGCGACGGCTCGCACGAACGCCTTCCTGGCCAATCGAGCGAACGTCGCTCAGACGATTGGAATGACCGGCCTCGGCGCGAGGCGAGCGATCAATAGGATGATCGGCGCCCCCGTTGGCCGATGCGCCCAGAGCGGGCTGCGATCCGAGGTTCCATCTCTCTTCAAACGCCCGCTGCCCCTCCGTCACGCCCGCGCCTCCATTCCCGCCACCCCCTCTGGCGCTGGCGGTCCTTGGCACGTGGGCGGCGGGTCCAGGGCGCTGGGGCACCCGCGCCGGACGCCGGGGGATCGGGCCCGGGGGTCCAGCGAAGTACGGCCCCGGGGATCCGGCGGGAGTCGCCACGTAGGCGTCGCTCATGAAGCGGCCCGAGGCGTCGACGGCGTCTTGGAGCTCCTCCGGGAGGCGCGATCGCGAGGCGTTCACCTGGGGAGGCACTGGCGGGTGTTGAGGACGGCTGCAGGCGACCAAAGGGAGCGGGGATGCCGTGGGGGACCGTGACGAACTGATGCCCACTTTTCGCTCTGGCTAGGAGGAGAAACGGTAAGCGCTGGGTATAACGCGACCAGGTGGTATTACTAACAGCGACTTTTCGCTTTGGGCAAGAGGAGAAACGGTCAAGCGACGCGTATTACGCGATCAGTTGGCTTACTAAACCAACTCATCACCTCACATTTCACGGGACTCTGTCCATGCAGTGGGCGCGTTTCCATGGCGCCACAGTTTTCCGAGTTCAGCAGGGGACACACAGCGTGCAGGCACCGACGCTGCGTGGGTATTGAGGAACCGGCAGTGTGCGGGCTTGAAGATGCGACAGCATTGGGCGTCAAAAAGCTGGGAGCGTTGTGACATCTGACTGCAGCACATTGGCGTCAAACCGCCGACGAGGGCAGCCTTGTGCTTTGAGTGCTGAACGAATCAAGCACGTGTGTGGCTCTGGAACAGTGGCTGATAAGCGCTGATGGAAGGGCGGCTGCCTGTGGTGAAGCAGGGTACCGTGCAATTTGTAATCAGCACAAGACGGTACAATAGAATTGATCGCACCGGGTGGAAGGCGTGGCAGCGGATCATACCTTCTGTGCGAACGCTCGCTGCAGCCGTTTCCTCAAGACACACAGCTGCACGCCCAGCTCTTGACGCGTCTCAAATCGAAGCCACCTTGTTGAGGGCCACAGACAGGGTAAAAGGTCAACACTCAGCCTTTTCCACAGCCGCCCTCGGTCCAAATCTGATACAAATATCGCCCGCCCCCCCACCCCCACCCCCACCCACCCCGCTTTTGATGTTGGTTCCGAGATACAGTTCATGGAGGCCGCATTTGGGACATGCTGTGTTCGCATACATGCATGATCATTCACTGAGGGTCACGCGCCCTGCTTTCGCAATCTTTGACAAGCGCAACCAAAGAACTCACAGCCTACAGCATCTACATTGTCGTGCGTGCCTCCGTGACAACACCAGGCCTGTTGGGTGGAGGGGTTTCAGGCAGCAGACACATTGGAGTTTGCTTATCGAGCTCTACCACCGTGGGATGGAGAAGCGCACATTCTGGTGCTGATGCGCCGTGTAACAAGCAACAGCCAACAGAAACTCGCAGCGGACACTGATGTGGCACTCGATGTCGCACATTTAGCAGACATGACCCCCAGTAACAATGCAAGTCCGTCCTGCCCCAAAGGCCAAGAAAGATGAAGAGTACACCACCAAAATCTGTGAAGAACAAGGAGCCATGAGCTGGCAACAATGGCTTAACACCTGTCAGGTCCCTCCATGTGCGTCAACACATCATGCTGCTGACAAACGCAATCCATGGAACTGGTGATGGAGATGAGATTCACCTGTCGATGTACAAGATCGCCTTCGTCTCCCGCTGCATCTGTGGCCTGGGGTCGTTCTCTTTGTCCTCTTCGTCCTTGAGCAGCTCCAGACTGCCCGCAATGAGGGGCAGGGGCTGCGGGTGAAGGGCAGTGCAGGCGCGAATGTACAATCGGGACTCGCCACGCACCAGCTCATCAAATGCAACGAGCGGACAAAGGGGAGGCTTGCCTGCACGACGACGAAACCCAAACATGAGATGCATAGTGGTAGGTGTTCCAACTAGATAGAACCAAACCGACCAAGAAGCAAAATATTGAGAATTCAAGAAAAAAAGGAAAAACACCACAATGCGTTACGCTGTCGTCATGGCATACAACGATGGAATGAGCAAAACAACCATGCACAAAGCAAGCACCACAATGAGGAAGGGGGAAACAGAAGCAACTGGATATTCCGCCGTGAAGACCACTCACGCAGAAACATTCGAGCTTTCTTCTCTTAGTCCGTCAGCCAATTCTGCAAAAAAATTGATTCAAGCTGCAACGCGCCCACTGCGGTGCTGCTAGTGTGCGCGTTGGCTGTCTTTTGGGCAGCTTGACTGTGGCTGTCAATACGGGGTTTCTTGGATCTGCGCCCCACAGCAAACAATCCTGCCAAAAGTCTCCAAAATGGAGTTCCGCAAGGGTGCGATCGAGGGCCACTGGACACGACATCCCAACCTAAAGCAGTCACTGCGATCTGGCGCCAATTTGGCACGGCAGGCGGGACTTGGAATTCAAGATAAGCAGACTGCTGCAGCCAAGGGTATGGGCCAAGATTCCAGCAATTGCTGCCAGCGCTGTCAGCAGATTGGCTGACCGTTTGCGAGCTCGTCAGTTGATGCCAACTAGTCGCAGGGCGCATGCACTGCTGGTGCCTCCCCTATCTGTAATGCCACACTGAAGGTAGGCTTCTTGGGTTGGTTCCAACAGACCACGCCACGCGACTGTCATGTGTCGACAAAGGCAAACATGCGCATTGTCGCCATTCCAACCGATCTGATTGCTATGCATTATCAGGAAGAGCTCAACATTAATATTTCTTTCATTCCTATTCCAATTCTATCTCATTCTACCATTTCGCCCGCATTCCACCATACTTGCTCGCAGCATTCAGTCAAGTTTCTGCAGTCACTGACTGGCGACTCACCTCTCGTCGGCTTGGGGGCGGAAAGCTTCACGTTGACGGAGGCCTGATGGATGAACGCCTTCTCGCCCTTCCTGGTCAAGATGGCGCCTGGCTTCCCGTGGTGAGAGCAGCCCACCCTTGGGTACAGGCCGCAGGCCTTACAAAACAATGGCCACAGCATGCATGTGACCGCTGCTTGCTGGCGATTCCAACAACCAAGCAGTGCAGTGCCAAGTGGTGCAGCTCTGAGGTGCCCAAGTACTGCTTAAAGTGCTGTTCTGTGTTGTGCCGTTGTCCATGCTTGTAGGTTGCACTGCTGGTGCCATGTTCGTGGATTGTAGAATGCGCATGGCGATGTGCAGGTTGTGAAAAAGATATTAGATGAGGGTGATCAAACGATCCTAAATGGTCAACTCGGAAATCAAAAGACGCGAACTGAACTACAAGAGTAAATAAGCAGTCCACTGCAGCAACATGGTCATTTCAGTGAAACCAGGATGCTCTGTTCGCACTGCAGTGTATGTTGTCATGTTGCGTTGCACAGCATTTAATCAGTTTGGATTGAAACGTAGTCTGCACGAACGATACTTCCAAATGGCCACCAATCAGCCAGTGCCTTGGCACGCATGAAAGTTGTTGAGCGTTGTTTCCATCCAAGGTTGGCTTTGTTCTCCCCAGAGATTGTGCATTCCTTTGTACAACTTTTCGCCTTGCTCCATTCAGCTTCTCAGTTCCCTTTGCAGTAACAGTGTGCATGGGGCTTAGACCCATCATCGCTTTCAAGATGCTGGTATAGTGATTCGTCACACCTAAGGCAGTTGTAGCATACTTGAAGCCTTTCGCATGACTTCTTTTATCTTGCCAGGCACAACCATTTCTGCTCTTGTTTCCCTGCACTCACCATCATGCCATCTTGGTGGCGTTGGCACAGAGCACGATGGTCTCACATTGACGATCAGTGTTGTACTTCAGTAACAAATTACACTGTTCCAATGCAAACGGTTGCCACTACGACAGTGCCTGCTGATTTGGGTAGACAGCTCTGGGTAGACACCGCACGTGCTGACCCATGCTTTGCCCATTCCATGCCACAACACACACACGCACACACACACTTGTCATTCACTCACCAGTATGCACCTCACGACCTCTGGGTCTCGGGCATTAACAGAACACCCCTCCATCGACCCCACCAGCCCCCTGCGCCGCAGCTCATCCACCAGCTGCTCCCTCATGCCGTGGATCATGGACAGAGTGGCATGCGACACAAAGTTCTTGCGACAGAACTCCCAGTCGCGACCTGAGCGCCTGGCCACAAGCCAGCGATCATATGCCGTGACAATGGCCAGATGGTCGCTGCCAGCGCCGCCCAGCTCTGCCATCTCGGCCCTTATCGACTTGGCTTGCGCACGTTCACCGTCGCCTGTGGGATTCAACCACGGATCCCTGTTGACGGACACATGTGAAACTAATGCAAGGAAGGACCCTTTTTCTGTGGCAAAATCCACAAATAATGCTCCATCCATGTTCGGCTTGCTTGCAGTAAATGAATATGGTGAATGACATCAATCATCAAATGCCCACATGGTTGCCTCTGTAGGTCAGTGCCAGACATTTGCATTGAATGCGAGTGCACCAGAATCAATTCTGGGACGCACATGACAACGTTGGACAGGAGGGGATGCAAACTACAAACGACATTCGGATCCAGGTTCCATACTGACTTTTAACAATACCAGTGCATGACAATCCACAACAGCAACAAGGCAAACTTTGGGGTTGAGGCACACAACACACAGAAGCATATGTGACAGACAGAACCAAGCAAGCGGCACAGTGGACAGCTGGGGATACTACCACTCGTAGATGTGTAGGGGGATTTTTTGTGATTCCAAAAATTACATCACAATTCAGCGTCCAGGTGCCTTCTCCATACTATCACACGCTATGAGGGCCTTTTGCCACCTAACAAGAGAGTGCAAGGCGATGCAAAGCTCCCAATGCTGTTCGAATCCAAAAGGATACGCAGTCTCGAAAAAGAGAAAAGAAGTTCAGCACTCCGCGAGGGGGAGGGCCAGTTGGGTTATAACGGAAGTAATAACAGCAATTGATACTACCAACAATTGTCATTAAAGCCAGGAGTTCTTGACGACGAGCCATTCGACTTGAAAGAGGAACCCACCTGTATGACATGCTACAGGCGACCGTCAACACTGGGTCCAAGCACTTGAACAGGATTCCATACAGGCACAGTTTGCCAAGCTGGGGCGGCAGTGGCAGCGCAGCCAGGTGGCGCCCCAGGGTGGTCAGACCCTCATCCTCCGTCAGGGCTCCAATGTCGATCAGAACATTCCGTGCGGATTCGATCGCCTTTGTTACAGGGGGTGATGGGGCACGGCCAAGGAATTCGCCAATTGAGTTCTGTTGCCCGCCTGGCATGTCCAACATCTTGACCTGTATCGGGGTTGGGACATCTTCAGGAACAGTGCACTTTGGTCAAACGGATGCGCAGGAAAATTATGTACGTTTGTTCCATCTCTATGTTCCATCAACAGTACTGTCGTACAGCTATGCCGGTCCTTGGCTCACTAACCACTATTATTAATGCAGTGACTGCAAGCGACCGAAAGACCTACTACCAAACTTGACTCATTGTTGTTTTGGGTGGGGTTTGTGCTTAGAAAACTTCTGCTGTGACTGTGAATGTCACATCCAGCAGTGCTTCTGTAAGATGGAAGCCATCGCTCGGACAGCTAGGCTGAACATGCTCGAGCGGAATGCAGCACATCAGTACTTGGCGTTTGAGTCCATGAGAACGAAGGTGCAAGCGATTGCAATCGAGGTGAAGGTCCGTTCCCCCAGCACTGCGACAGAATGGCTGGGAGCTTGTGGTGAAACCCTGCATGCTGAGCTATGGGGCTCGGTCATGATGGACTTGCACAGACTGTCGTGAACACAGCGTTGCTTCAGTGCAAGGACTGCCTGCCTGCCTCTTTTTACGATTAAATCCCTGTGACGGAAGGCTGAAAGTTGGCACCAAAGCTGTGGCTGCTGCAGCCTGATGTTTGCAAGGTCTGGTATCCCGCCACGAGCACACATCAATCCACTGCAAGAACCCCAATAACCCACAGCCCGATCATCCGACCAGCACTTGCACCAATTCATTACATGTGAATGGCAGCCCCCACCTGCAGGCAGAGCTCCTCAAGGGGGCACCGCTTCAGCTCAGGCTCCTGGAATTCTGGCAGGCTGGCGCTCCTCGCCCGGCTGTACATGTGGAACGCGACTCCCTCCTGGCACCGGCCGGCCCTCCCGCGCCTCTGTCGCTCGCTGGCCCTTGAGGTCCATGTGGACTGCAGAATGGACACATTGGTGTAGGGGTCGTAACTCTTTTCCTTGAGGCGGCCCGAGTTGAGCACCACCACGACATCGTCGATGGTGACAGCCGACTCAGCGATGTTGGTGGCCAAGATGAGTTTGCGGACGCCGGGCGGGGGCCGCACAAAAACGCGGCGCTGCTCTGCTGGGGGGACCATCGAGTGCAAGGGCAAGATCTGGTACCTGAGTGCGATTGAGATGAAGGCAGAAAAGTAACATGCATTGTCTGCTCTGCCAACTATTGAATTCTAATATTGCCAGCGCAAAGAACCACAGCGAACTTGACTGAATGCATCAATGCCAGTGTTTCTTCCTTGCGGAATCTTCAATTGACATCATATCAATTACGATGTCAGCAAATACAATAATTAGCAAGTGTTCTGCAGACAAACCTATTGCAGGACATTACTGTATGGTCATGCCTGCTCAGTAACTACATCAAAGCTTTTTTACAGGAACAAAGCATGGATGAATGCACTTTTACTGGCAACACTAGAAAGGATGTACTGGTCGTGGCACGTTGCCCTATTGCACCCAGCTAATTCAGCATCACACCATTAGACGTCTACAAGGAAATCACAATGCCTGTCCTAGCAACCCCAAGACCCCAAAATCAGCTTTACAACATGAACGATGTTATGAAATAGCTGTGCCTGCCCCCTTCCCAGTCCTTGAGTAAGAATCGCGATGCCAGATTCCAGCAGGTGTGCCACACACTTTGCGCTTTGGATGCAACCCTTCGAAACAAAATGTCATCAAAATACCTTAAGTTTTCCTGCCAACTTTTCCACACTGTGCAAATGCGTGGCATGTGGGACAAAGATCTTGGAATGTGATCGACAAATGGCTGCCAATTTGCCTCCTCGCCTTTGGCATGCAGGAGCTCGTTTGTCATGTCTCTTCACAGAAGTTAGCCGGGCAGGTGGCAGGTTGCATTTTTTGTCATGGACGAGTAAAATAAACACTATGGTGCAATGTGGCACCTTGTCTCTTTTTGATAAGATCCTGGGGTTGGGGTGTGAGATTCTTTTGATTTTGCATATACGAATATGACTAGGCACAGCACATGCAGCTTCAAGGCTATGCTAGGCACAGCTCACACCACAACACTAACAAAACTTCTGATGCTTTCCACTGGCCCACCACATCACTGGGTTTTGGGCACAGTGCCACAAGACAATCCCAATGCCGCTTGAACAGATGTCCAGGTGAAAATGAGCAAACAAAGCACCATGACCAAACAATGTCCCTGAAGTTGAGCCCAACATCGCCTTCAAAGTTCAAGTGCTTTGTGAAGAACCTTTCTGTGACACATGTTAACAAATAGTTCAGACTGCACGACAGACATTTGCACACGCTCACATCCAATTAGTGCTGCATTCTCATTGCAGAGAGCACAGCCTCACAGCACATAGAGTGCTTTAGATCCAAAGCCAAACAGCTGCAAAGGCCATGCTTTCAGCAAGTTGTACTCTATCCATAAAATAAACTCATGGAACTAAACACTAAAGCACTGCAGTGCTCCAAGTGCAGTCCCTCAATACTCGGCATACCTCACCCCAAAACAAACTACCATTGAGGCGACAGTTGCAGCACAAGCACCATGCCATTTAATACATGGACGCACCTGCCCCTCCCAAACACATCCTTCTCCAGCCGCGTCTTCATCCGAATGATCTCGTCCCACCCTGGCATAAAAACCAACACGGCGCCCATGGGGATATTCACGTCCTGGCTGCCCTTCTTGTACTGCCCCTCCCCACAGATGTACATCAGCAGGCGGTGGATGAGATCCAGGTCCACCTCGTCAGCCGCAGAGTTGCTATGGTAGTGGTCCAGGGCCATTGAGCTGGAGCGCAAGGAGTTGACCTGGTCAGCAGCTTCAGCACCCCCCCTGAGGATCCCTGCCACCTGTCAACACATTCACGATGATAGCACAGGATCAGGTGTCTTCGCAGCACTCAAATTTGAGAAATGGATTGCTTATCTTTCGTTTTTCTCTGTTCTCGCTGTTTGCTATTCCTTTAAAGATATTGCTGTGCCCTGTGCATTGTTCCAGGCTGGGCTCATCTGTACCAGCAAGGTTATGGTTCTGTGAGAGCCAAACTGGGTCAAACGAAAGGAATCAATCCCATCTAGTGTAGTGATTTTACAAATGGTGTACATTGCACCTGAGTGTATGTAATATACTTGTGCAGCTGCTATCCATCACCAGTGCATCTCTCACAAGCACTGTGTAGCTGTACCACAGTTGGGAAAGCACTCAGAACACTTGGGACAAGAGACTTGCCTGCTTGTGTGACAATGGGAAGCTGCAGGCAATCTTACAAACAATTGGGTTCACGTTGACATTTGATCAAAGCCCCCTCCTGGTTATGCACGTGCTTCAATTTTCAAGTCAGGCTGACAATGCTGGCCCCATTTTCATAACAAGATTCCAGGCTGTGCACATCCTGCCATGTTAAAGACACACTACAGTTATAGGGACACCCAAAGCCATCTAGTCCAACGTTAACTGAACAGAAAACAGCAGAACGGACCATTTCTTTGTTTATGGTTCTTGAAAGAGGCGTTAAACCGTGGCGGGCATTGAAAACGGTTGTTTATTGCATCTGTATCTTCTGATAGATAAATACTTTATCGACATTGTGTCTAATACTGTATCGATGCATGAATAAAGATCAATAAAGTTGTTGCATCCAATATTATATTCGAGATGGCCAGCAACATGCCTTCCTGCTGCTCTGCATGCTACAGTAAAAACAACTACCCTACACCGATGTCCACTTGGACAGCCAAATGCCACATTGCTTTGGAATTCATGCGTTCGACACCATTGCCATTCAACATACTCTATCGCATTTCACACCAGCAATGCCCAAGGCCATTTGGTGGGAAGGTAATGTAGAACCTGGCAGGAGTGCATTGGCAATCTTCAAATGGTGCTCACCATCGGACTGAATGCCACAGAACAGTGCTATGTGGTCATTGACAAATTCGATCAACTCAGTTCTGCTGTTCGAAACAATTTTGTGCCTGCATTGTTGTACGGTGGCAGGCACCCCAAGTCTTCTAATGCGACAGGCGCAAAAAAAAGTTGAAACGAGCTCCACCCTTTGAAGAAAATTCCAACAGAAAAGAACAAACCAAGTATGCAGCAAATCAACACAATGGAATGAAGCAGAACAAAGTGGGTACGAACGATGTGGAAGTGACACATGGAAGACGCACCTCGTGGTGACCACACTGCTCTGCACATGCCACAGCATCCAGCCCGTTGAAAGCTTGGATGAGCACATCCGCCCCCTTCTCAAGCAACTGGCAGACTTCAGACAAGCGGCCCCAGCTTGCCGCTGCAATGAGTGCCGTGGCACCTGTGCCTGAATGTTGAATGTTCACCAAACTCCCTTCACTTTGAGCCCCTGCGCAACATGCCAGCTTGTCAGTTGCACAATGGGTTGCAGGACAGGCCTTTGCTTCTTTCCAAACAGTTTCCCAATGCCTTCAAATTCGAAACACGAAGTCACTGGGAACTTTCAGTGATCAGAGCAGACACGTGCACACAGATCCTCCAGGGATACTTCCTTTTAGATATGAGGAAATAATAGAAAACAAAACAAAGGACAACGTGGACAAGCAGGCAGCTGTTTAGGAAGACTGCAACAACTTTTGGCAGAGCAAAAGCTCTTGATAATTGAGGGAGGCGCTTGTGCGGAACCCTTGAGTTGGTGGAGAGCTGTGCTAAGCCATGTGGCGGCGATTGTGCAAAGGCATACCTTGGATCTGGACTTGTCAACTTGCAGTTACGGACGCAGAAGACAACCTAACCGCATCCTCACCTCAAGGACCAGTTGCTTAAGGCCTACCACACCAACAACTGGAACGAACAGACGTGAAAATCCAAATAAGCGTGCCTGTAACTTCCAGCAAGCGCTCAAAGGCTTCATCCCGTCCACTTGTGAATGCATTTCGGATGGCATCCTCCACCTCGCAGCGCTGCTGGGCAGTCGACTGCAACGAACACAGAGTGCATCAAAGCTCATGCTTGAAGTCTGGCCATTCTTGTTTCCACATCATGAAAAGTGCCAACCCACGGACACTCACTGCCAGAGCATGTGCTCAAGGAATCTCAGAGTTGTAATACATGGACTCTCAGGCATTCTCCAAGTGTCATTCATTTGCTACTTCTCATTCGTCCATCGCAGGCGGCTTTGCAGCTTGCAGTCGCAGGCAAGACTCCAAATCCTGTGCACATGTCCATCTATCTCAAGTGGGTAATGTTGTACTCTGGCATGATCAATATTCTGTAGAATTTAAAAACTGCCAATTTGCTTCCTCTGAGGATAGCTGACTCAGCCACCTGGACTCACATAAGGCTGCTTCTTGACGGCGCCAGTGCCCCCCCTCCTGCCGGTGACCTCTTGCTCATATCCTGTCAGCCTCAGGATGTCCTCAAGGTAGAAATCCTCAACAGCAAACGTCCGCCCCTGCACGTACAGTATTGGGCATCCCCCGAAATAGTCCGAGAACAGCTGGTGCTGCAGTGTGGCAGACATCAGAACCAACTTGAGGTTGGGGTGGTTGGGGAGCACGTCACGGAGTGTGATGAGCAGGAAGTCGGCAAAGGCATCCCGCTCGTGGACTTCGTCAAGGATGACATGGGTGAAGTCGTCCAGGTCGCCACCCTGGGACAACAGGGAGGGTCAGGCTGGTGGGCCCCCCGGCCCTGGCGCCGGGCAAGGCTGCAGGCCGGGGGCCCAGCACAGGGGCAGGCAAAGGGGCAGGAAAGCTGTGCACACAGACATCGCGACAGTGGATGTCATAAGAAAGTCACACGACAAGTGGGCATGAGACTGTGACATCAGGCAGTGCGCCATTGTCTGCCACACTTCTTGAACTTCAACAAGCTATTTTAATGTGCCTCACATTCAATGGCCTAGAATGCCTAAATAATGGCAATGGCAAGTTGTTAGAAACCATCTGATGTGGCGCACTGAGGGCCATTGAAGCAGCAAAGCTACGTTGGGTACAAGAGGGTGACAATCCGATGAAGAATGGGTGAGAATATGCAATTCCCACTGCCCACAATCCACTCCATACATAATTGGACACTGAAGATGTAGCATCCAGATGTTGTCGATGTTACCTAGATTGTACAATGGCTGTGCAATCTCATATTGGAAGAACCAAACCAGGTAGATCTAAACATCCAAGCATCCCTTATGAAGAGCAGCGAGCGCAAACAAGGCCAAATCGTCGGCACCACATAGCCAATGTGCAATGCTTTGTTGATATGTGCCCATGTTGCATTCCCAAGAGGTACCCTTATCCTTGTAACAATTTTCCACACAACAAACGGGCATCAGGTGGCAGCAAATGACAGAAGCCACCAATGCTTGCATTTCTGGAACCAGTGGAAAAAAAAGTTAACCAAAAGAAATGGAGCACTTCATGCACATTGAACTACGCAGAAGATGAGTGAGAACAGGAGTGAGGAAAGCAGGGGGGGATGATAACAGCGAACTTGTTCATGCTACTTTCCCAGAGAACAGGCAGGAGAGCACAATGAACACATACTTCTGCATGAAACACAATGCATATTCTTTACAAATTTCAGTATGAAACTAAGATTACACAAAGCAAATGTGGTGGGTTTGCCTGACTGGTGTCCAGTACCTTTGTTGCAATACGCAGCAAGATTCCATTTGTGCAGAACACCAGGGATGACTGTGGGCCTCCCTTGGCCTCCAGGCGAATCGTGTACCCCACGTTGTCCCCTATGGCCTCGCCCCTCTCCACTGCCACACGTTCGGAGATCGATATTGCTGACAGGCGCCGTGGCTGGGTGCACATTATTTTGCAAGGCTCACCCCTCGACCAGCAGTCATCCATGATGTATTGGGGGATCTGGGTGGTCTTTCCGCTGCCGGTTTCTCCGCACACAAGCACCACTTGGTTGCTTTTCATTGCCTCCAGAATCTCCTCCCTGGGTGGCATGGACAAGCAACACTCTGGAACGGGCAGCAAAGATTACACATCTGCTGATTCTTTCGTTTGCAAAACTTGTGAGGGAACAATTTGGGATTAAAAACCAACAAGGCAGTGAGGTTTGAATTGTGCCCATCACCACATTCAAAGCAGTGCAGGACAGCCTTACACCAATTTTGTGACAGCTCCAATCAAAAGCTCCACAACATCATTATCATTTCAATGACTCACACATGCAACTGCTCATCTATTGAAAACTAGAGAGGTAACAACACAATGAATTGTTTGTTCATTATGCTATTGAGAGGTTGGACACAAAATCATCAGAGCTATCCACACAGAGGTATGTTGCAGCAAACATTGCAAAAGCAGCAGTTGAACAAAGCTTGGCAAAGGATAATCACACAGAAAAGCAGACTGAATGTATGCTTCCAGTCAACACAAGAAAAGATCAATGGCCATCAGACACTCATCCATTAACTCAGATGATCAGACGTCATCATTTTTGCTGGTGGTCCTCAGGGACCTGACATAATTGTCACAGCAATGACCCCAACAGCCCCAAGCCATGACAAAAACATGTCCACAACACTGCACTGAAGACAAAAATTCGCTGAAAAGGGTGGCAGAATGTCTGAGCACCTGTGTTTCACTATTGGCAAGGCCTCCCTTGCTGCATTGATCTCAGCCATCCCAGGTGTTCTCCGCCGTTCACACACAGCCTTCCAGCGCTCCATGACCTGCTCCTCAGAGAACCTGGATGCCAGATTCATCACTGACCGCATCCTCTTCCTGCGGGGCTGCATCTTGGTGGTGGAGGACCCCTGGCTGCCGTTGGACCCCACTGTGCTGGAGCTGCTCGCCTCGCCACCATCCAAAGGCTCAGGAGCTAGCACCTCGTTGAGTTCAGCTTCGGTGGGAGGAAAATGCTGGGAGGAGTCCCAATCAATCAGAGGTGGAAATCTGCACGGATTGCGCTCATTGGAAGTGTGAAAGCACACTGCCTTTGCAGCTCATAAGCGACGCTGACCAAATCAGAGGCGGACGTGTGCGAGTCTGCTTCAGTCAAAAATGTGATAAAACATCACCCATGCATCTGAACGGCGATCTTGGGGGCTTGATCTTATCCACTTGTGGTGGAACCTAACGTGTTAGTTGCTTATACTTTCTGCCAACCATTCTCCCTGAACATGATGTGATGAGCCTAGCTGGCTCAGCAGCAGCACAATGTGAAGGGCTGGGGTGTTACTCAGTGCAGAAAGGAGGAGCAACATGTGACACAGCGGAGTGTGGACATTTCCCTCACCACTGTTATTGAGTTATTGAAAAAGGCCAAAACCTATTCACACATCTGACTTGGCACCAAAAACTTGGAAATTTTGGATATGGCTTGCTGCCTCTCTTGCCAAGGCAGTCGCACTTCCTGCCTTGTGGTGTTCCATCAATCGTTGGAGTCGGCACTGAAGGTTCAAAGAGAAGATGAGTGATACATGGCACTCAAGGTGCACAAAAGGATGGATTGCTCTGTGTGGGTGGTGGATGGGCAAGCTGGTGGTGTTGGGGACAGCTCCTCATGTGCTTGCACTGCCATGACTGACGTACCTCGAAGTGCTGACCAACAGCCATCTCTGCCTTTGGTGTCACTTGCATTGCATAAGTCGTAGCTGTTGTGTTTTTTCGGATGGACTTGTAGACAGTCATGCGCCTCTCATCGCCCTTCCTGTAGACAATTCCCATGGCACGGACACTCAACATCACGGCAGAACAGCATGAGAAAGGACAATTGACACCCCATAGCAACTGTTGACCAAGAAAATTGGACCAAGAGGAAGAGTGGCGAGGCAGGCTGCTGGAAGGATGCAGTATAGCTGGGCAGAACAAGAACTGCTGTGGATGTTTCAAATCAACTCTGCCGTTTGCGGCATGGCTGCATGGGTATATTTTCGCTGGGTGATACACTGACATTTTCAGGGAAGCTCTGTGCGAAGGGCAGCAAGCAGGCTTTCTCAAACAAGTGGTTGGAAGGAACCCTGCCTATCATCGCCTTTGCTGCACAGTACTTGTCAGTCTCATAAAATGCAGGCACAACGATCTTGGACTTGGTTGCTCAACTGCTGATGAGACACACGGCACTTGGGACAGGGCACAGAAAGAGGTATGGGCATTATGAGCCCAGGGGCTGACTGCCAGAAAGAATCCTCCTTGTTTCGTTTCAGAAATTGATTGACGCTTGCTAACCCAGGTGTTGCCACAGCTCACAAAAGACAATGCTCCCCTTGGCTTGCAGACATTTTCTCTTGTTTTTGTGGAGAAGTTTCCAGGGGTTCGGTGGCAGCTGTGGCCGCCATTAGAGGCATGATTTTTGGTTATAGAGTTGGGCCCGGATGTGCCCCTCGCACACTGGATGGTACGCTACATTGATCGATGCCGTGACATCATGTCGATGCATCCATGTAAGGAAGAGACAAACAAACAAACAAACAGACAATGCTCCCCTTGTTCTTGGCATTCAATCTGCATCGGAAGATCAAGACTGAATGCACCCGTGACTTCCTTCTGGGATTTTTGTGCCAAAACCGCAGAACATTTGGCAGTTCAGGTGTCACTGCCTTCCCAACAGTTTCTTGCTGAGCAAAAGGGTTCTGAATGCATTCCTTTCTTGTATCAAAACAGCAACTTGCACTCCTTTCTCACCTGCATGGCACTGTTTTCGAAGTTAGGGAACTGTTGGAGGATGACTAGGATGGGGAGACATAGTACTTGCCAATGCTGACAATGTGCCGTAATACTTGGAAGTATTAAAAAAGACACAATGCAATGAAAACTATCAGCAGCAATAACAAAAGCCCTTGTCATTACATACCCCCTACTCTTGGTTTCAAATCCATATCGCCGGCTCAAGTTGTGCACCACTCCCCGGTCGCTGCTAGTGAGGTCTGCGGCAAAGGTCATCTCTGCAACACAGTCCACGTGGCAACAGCCTTTTCAGCATCGGCGAAACCCAACCCACCATTCGAAACAACAACAGTGGCCCAATTCAATCGTTGGATTTGGATGCTGTGAGCCCACTAGAATTGATGACAATGGAATAGGCACAACCAAATAATCTGATCAACACCAAATTAGACACATTGACTAGCATACATTTACTAACACACATTGATTGACAGACATTGAATAACAGCAAAATGCCTCTTTCAGAATTCACATTCCTGTTCAATCAATAATTTAGGGGTTCACATCGCCTTGCACGCTCTTGTAAGGCGACAAACATCTTGACCCCCTTCCCCCATCCCTTCTGTTGGGCTGGGCCAGCAACTGATATCTTAAACGTGATGCAACATTCTGGAATTCAAAACAAGAAATAGAAACGCCAACGACACCAGACAGCCAGGGGGGTGCCGTGGTGCTCACTCGGCGTACCCACGCCCAACCGACCAGCGCGACTTCAGGGCCGACCAATGCGCACGCTCTGCAGGCGTCTCTTTGCGGCTGGCGGCGAGCCCAGACGAAGGCACCCTCTCCTTCCGGCCCGCCTCTCCGCGCCCCCACCCCCACCGTCCCCTCCACCACCGTCCCCTCACCGGCATCAGGTTCGCGCTTGCTGCGGCCCAGCACCGACCACCAAGAAGCCAGATCGGCCCCGCCCAGGGATCCAACGCCCGACCGCCGGGCAGTCTGAGGCCCCTCGCGACGCACCGGGGCTCGCGGGCGCGCAAGACGCCTCACAACGCACCCCGCGACCAACAATCGGCCCCAAATCGATTCCCCATCCAATCCACCGCCGGACGCCAGCCGCGCTACTCAATTCCTGCCATCCACAGCGCACCCAGCGCGCCGCAATCATCCCCTTCCCGCGCCCCCGACCTCCCGGGCCGATCCCCTCCCTCTCCTCGCCTGCCCCGCAACAACCCACACTGGACTTTTCCCAAATCCCTCAATCACTTGGCGAGCGCCAAACTCCCCCACGCCCCTCGATCACCAGAGTTCAGCCCCCAGACCTGCGCCCAGTCCGCCCTTCCCCCCCCTCACCCCCCCTGCCATCGCACCGGCGGCGTCCGATGCGCGAAAGGCCTCCAGCTCCCGGTGGATCCGCAGCCGCATGGCTTCCGTCACCGGCTGCGGTGGCGCCGCGCATTTGGCCGCCTGCTTGCCGCCGGCGGCCCCGCCACGGTCCCGGCCCTTCTTCGACTTCGCCGAGCCGCCACCCGACTTCCGCCGCTTCCCCGACCGCCCCCTCGACATGGCGCTGCCGGCAAACTCCGCTGGGCCCGCTCAACACTCCTGCGCCCCACCTACGTGCCAAGTTCACTGGTCGGCAGGGCGCTTTTTTTTCAAACGTCTCTTGCGTTCTTTTTTCCTTTTTTTTGCTGGTTTCCGTAATTCCTGAATTGGCAGAAAATCGGCGCCTTTCTTGTTGGAATTGCCATTTTCCTTTCGTGGATGCAGTGTCCGAGGGAAAGCGGCCGCTTCCCAATTTACAAAACACGATTGGCGCTGATATATCAGTTATGTCAGCTGCCAAAACAACTTTGTGTAACGCTGTTTTTGGCCGAAAACACCATAAAGTACTACACTTCTGTATATCACGCCCTGATCCAACCGGCTATGAATGATGCATTGTTCGGTCAGGGCACGAGTTGCCCCAAGACAACTGGACCTGTCCTGCGCATGCTGGATCAAAATTTTCGCGGCGTGCAGATTTACCCATCTACGGTAACTCGCAAGGAGAGGCGGATCGTTCAATATTCGTATCGTTACATAAAGTTTGCATTCACTCTCACTATACCAAGTGTTTCAAGCGTAGTGTAGCCTTACTCTAAGATAAAGCTGCAATATATCATTAAACCATCGATAGACGTGTTCCCGTTGTGGTTAAGATCTTTCACACTTTACTTCGCCTCCAATTTTCAGGCATCTTCTCTGACCGTGCGCTTTGAGCCCCCTGATCTTCTAGAGAGACGGTGTGATGAGGATTCTCGTTGAACGAGGAATTACGCAACTTGAGAGGGTAGTGAGCTGTCCGCACTCAGGGTGGGCAAGCCTGTGGGCTGAGCGGGTACCGGACCACAGCTTATGCACAAATGAGGCAGCCATACCGTTGAAGGAAGCCAGAGTCAGGAAAGTGCATACTTAAAATTAGAATCGAATCTCAGCACCCACTGTCGCCTTGGGGGGTTTCCGGTGACCCTCCCCCGTCACCCGTGCCAGAGACGCGCTCCTCACAACTTACCACGCAAGAATCACAGACCTCGGCACCCACCAGTGGGCCAAAACTAGAAAAGGTAACATAAAACTCCAACCCTTGGGACCCGACAGCTGCAGTCGCCTACCCCACTTCCCAGCTGCATCCCCGCGGCCCCGAGCCGTAGGAGCACCCAGCTGCCGTCCCCTCGGGTCCCTAACCGACCATTAGCGGTCCCAAAATAAAAAATGATAGAAATCCAGAAAAAAATAGGGCGCCCTATGCTATGAGATGTAGACCTTAGAAAACGCGCTTGCGTAGGAATGCAGAGAGTTGATGGTTGTATGAGATGTACACGGTGGAACGGCAAATGTGCACATTCCCAGGGGTACAAAGAGTGGCTTTGGCAATGGTTGTGCGGGTGTGTCTGGGTGCACCGGAATGTGTTCCCAAGAGAAGGGGGGTGGAGGGTGGGGGAGGGGGGGGCAGACTATTGCCACCCTTCGACAAGGGTGGTGATGATGTCGCCCACTGCGCGTTCCTCACCCACCGACAAAAACCGACCCGGAAATCGCTGCTCGCCTGCGACCACAGCGTATAGTAGAAATACGTACTCCTGTTTTGGATCTGAACGAAAGCAGTGCATGTAGGGATGATGCGGGGAGATATTTCTGGCGCGTTTGCGCAAGATCACTACGCATCGACTGTGGCACGCAGCATAGTGCAAGCAGCACATCCTTCAACGCGCCAACCGATTATAATCAGCGTCAAACGCTGACTACGATATTTATTATGTTGATCGCAATGCTTACATTAATCATGATTATGATATTCTGTCAAACCTTGACTGAATAAGGGCATGCGGATAGCCAAGGTACCAACCCTACCGACACAAGCCGTCACCGAATGGAGTCGTGCGCAAAGACAAGGCATTGCCTGCCAAGGCCCTCTGGAGTGCAGCCGCTCATTCCCCAAATATCACGCCATTTACAGAGGAAGTTCAGAAACAATCGCGCGAAGGTTCGAATTCTCCCGCCGAAAAACGTGAACATCGCCGCTACGCAGTCCTCCACAGGCCGGAGATTCTGCCACTCCCGCGACGGCCCTCAGGAAACGGCACCCGCGCTGAACTACAACCCATCCCACAGCAGACCCAAACTTCCCCAAGCAACACCTATTCAACCGTCGATCTGCCCGCACCTTTGCTCTCCCAGCCGCATGCCAACTCTCCCCCGAGCCTTCTGGCGATCCAAGCTCCGACTCGCTCGTCGACTACTCCTTTGCCGCCTAGCTCCCCTTCGAAGACACCACGTTCAGCAGCTTGATGATGGCATCGTGGTTGCTCAACACCCGCGCCTTGTCCCCCAGTATGCGCCCCCTGGCCTGCGCGATCTTGTCCTCGACCTCCTGAATCTGCGCCTGCAGCGCCTCCGCCCCGTCCAGCGGGGCCTCCGCCCGGGCCAGCTTTTCCTCGTACGCCCGCCTCTCCGCCTCCCAGAACCTCAGCTCCTTCTCCATGGATTCCACGCCCTCCTGCAGGAATTCCAGGCAGCGCGCCAGTGGCGCCGCGCTCTGGCACACCTTCTGCACCATCTCCCGCATCCTCTCCAGATTTCCGCGCCGCCCGCCGTCGTCGCCCTTCCGTCGCCGCCTCTGCAGGACGATGCCCTGATGGGAAGGGTCAGGGTCGTCGCCCCCGGCGGCTTCCGTCTCCTTGGCCCCTCCCCGGGCCTCCAAAATCCCCTGCACCAGGGCGCCCTGCGAATCAGCCGCAGCGGACGACTCCCCCATGGACCCTCTCCTCTCGTCGATCTCCACCACCGTCTCCTCGTCATCATCATCCTCCGACCTGGCCCCGTCGCCGAGCACTCGATGCCCCAGCCTGGATCCCTGCGACGAACCCGGCTTGCTGCTGGCGGTGGAGGGTCGGGAAGGTGGGCGCACGGGGGCCGTGGGGGACGCCAGCCTGGTGGAGGGAGACGTCAGCCGAGGCCTCTCCTTGGAGGGCAGTTTGGGCGGGGCCTTCTTCGCCGACTGCGGCCTCTGGGGCCGGCGAAGCAGCGGCGGTTTGGCCGCCTTGGCGGCGCTGGGCGGCGTCGACGACTGCGGCGGCGGTTCCTCGGGACGCGCCGACTCAGCAGGCCGGCCGTCGACCTGAGGAACACCGCCAGGCATATCTTCGGGAGGGTTCGTCGCCCCGGCCGGCTGCTCAACGGAAGAGGCCCCTCCGTCCGTCTCGGGCCGCGCCCCTGGGTCCGGTTCCGCCGCCCCGTCCCGCCCGCCGGCCTCCCCACTCCCCTCCCCGTGCCTTGAGGACCGCCCCCCGGAGGCCGACCTCCTGGGTGGACTGCCGCCGGCCCTCTCCTGCCCAGGGCGCCTGCCCCCGTCCGCCTCCTCCCCGCCCTCCTGTCCCGCGCTTCCCCTCCTGGACGCCTCCCCCTCCGACCCCCTTCGGCTTCTCCCGCCCCCCTCCCATTCCTCCAGCCCCTGCGGGCCCGCCTGGGCCACCTCCTCGCTCCTGGGCTGCGACCCAGGCCGGGGGGGCGTCTTCCCGCGCTGGGACGGCGGCCGCTGCTGGCCGCCCCCCTGGCGCTCTCCGGCGAGCACCCGCTCCACCGCCTCCCTCCCATTGCCCATCATGGCAGCCCTGGCGAGCATCTGCAGGAAGGCGTTGGTGGCCTCCGGCTCCAGGCCAGCCACCACTTTGGCGGGGCGGACCGCGACCTCGACGCCCAGGGCCAGGCCCACGGTATCAACCATCTTGGCCAGGTAGGCCACCTTGCCCTCCTTGTCCCGGATGGCCTTCCCGTCCAGCTCCTCGCCGGAGTAGAGCCCGGCGGCGAAGCCCGTCTTGGCGACGACCGCGGACAGGACGTCGTGCAGGAAGCGGAAGGGCGGGCGGCGCAGCAGGGCCTCCGTCAGCCGCGGCTTCTTGACCATAGGGTCGGGGCCGGACTGCAGCAGCTGCTGCGTTAGGCTCCAGAAGTCGCCGTCGGCCATGGGGCCGCGTAGGGGGCGCGCCGAACCGTCCCGGCCCCTCGGCTGGCGCCCTCGGCGGTGTCTTTCAAAGACTCAGTCGTCGCACAGGGAGGAGACCCGCGGGCGCTGCGGGCGTGGGCGGCGGTGAGGGGTGGGACTGGACCGGGGGCGGCGCTGCGGCTGGGGTCGCGACTCGAGGGTTGGGCGCATTGGACCGCGCCCGGCGGAGGCGCTGGGTGGGTGGGTGGGTGGGTGGGTGGGGAGGGGATGCGGTCGGGGCTGGGGCCTTCCTGATCTCTGTGTGCTGTTGTCCTCTGTCAGACGGATTGATCGATAGGCTGGCGATAATAAAAAAACGCATTGCTAGTGCAACCGTGCTCTCTCGAGCTGTGCACGTGCACACAGGAATAAATTGGTTTGAAGTGAACTGGTGAATTGCATGCTGCGGCACTTCGAACATATTGCTCTTTCCGCACGCTTTCATTTCCAGCGGGGTTACATAGCTATGTAATGGCCATCTTCAACCGTCAGTCAAACCGTATTCTGCTGTGAGATTGCTGACACGTAATATAGAAAGTCGTATAAAATGTCGCCAATGGTGCGTTGATAGTATAAACTGTGTTTAAGTGGGATTAAGGCGTTCAATCTTGACCGTCTTTTGGGTGCCATTGCACCCTAGTGTGTGGCAGTGCGTGTCTCAGAACCTGGCACCGTGCAGCTGCCCTTAACACATGAAGATGTAATCTGCAACCGTTGAGGTTGCGCAGCCATTGGCGGCCACAGCGATTGCTGTGAGACTTTACTGCCTGTTTGCCAAGTGATAAAAATGTCTCCGAGCGCAGCGACGTTGCATTTGGAGATGTCACCGTGGGGCCATCTGATGACTGACTGGTGACTAATCCGTGTCTGCGTTTGTAACCCTCTTTTGATTGAACCTTGCAAGGATGCAGGAACTGCCCAACGGGTGACAAATGGCCGGCGCAGGCAAATAGTTACATAATCAAATAGCACTAAACTGCTGATAATCGCCCATTCTTGTTTCAGGCTTTTTACTTCAATAATGACAACATAGCGGCAGTAC